AAACTCAGGTCATCCAACACTTGTTTGTTTGTTTGTTTGTTTGTTTGTTTGTTTGTTTGTTTGTGGTGGGGGAGTCATTTTGCTTTTAAAATAGGTCTATTGGTATACATTTAACCTATCACACAGTTTAATTATTTGATCATATTCAGAACAGTTGTGCAATCATCATCACAACCAATTTCAGAAAACTTACTCTTCCTTCTCATTGTTGTTAACTCCCATTTCCTCCCATTCCCCGCTGCCATGCTCATTATTAGTCCAGTTATTGCCTCTTTAGATTTACCGATCCTGGATGTCACATACAGAAAATCATGCAAAACACAAACTGGAAGTAGACCAAAAATCTACAATGACCAGACAAAGCACAGAACAATCTGAAAAGAAAGCAGAAAAAAGTAAAAACTGCAACAACGTTAACATGGGTCGAAAAGGGCATCAAATGATAACATCCACTTTGCAATGCTCTGCCTGGTGGCAAGGTTATGCACATCCCGTGAGTATGTTGAGAAAAGATTCACGGGAGGCTGAAACGATGGGAGAACTCTGCAAATGGATTTTGGACTCACACTATCATCCATAGCCTTCTGCAAACCAGGTATTTACCATTTAAGCTCTAATACTATTCCATCCTTCAGATTTAGATTTCATTATTTGCAATCCTTAGATCACACAGGCTGGCGCGCTTCTTCCATGTAGACTTAGTGGATGGCTCACATCGAGGGATGCTTGTTTGAAGACAAGCTTTTAAGAGCCCAGATGCTATTCTTTCTGACAGTCGGCCATCATCTGGATTCTTCACCACACGTCACTTGAGGATTGAAATCTTCAGTGATTTCTTCAGGAGGGCAAACATCAGGCAGGGTGATGTCGTAACAACTCATTGTTCTTAGACTGGGGCTAAAATTAAGTGCAAGGCCAATATCTATTCATATTATCTATGGTTTATATATGTCTCTGGCTCACTTTAGAGACATCATGATCATTTTATGATAGAAGGCATTATAAACCATCCCCCTGGGACATCAGGTAATTCTATTGATAGTGTCATTCATTTAGCCAAAAGTATAGAATTTTAAAACATTGTTG